CCTTCCCAAACCTTCCCTTCCCTTCCCTTCCCAAACCTTCCCTTCCCAAACCTTCCCTTCCCAAACCTTCCCTTCCCAAACCTTCCCTTCCCAAACCTTCCCAAACCTTCCCTTCCCAAACCTTCCCAAACCTTCCCTTCCCAAACCTTCCCTTCCCAAACCTTCCCTTCCCAAACCTTCCCTTCCCTTCCCAAACCTTCCCTTCCCAAACCTTCCCAAACATTCCCAAACCATTCCCTGTGTCCCTCCCAGATCCTCCTGAACGCCAAGTGCCACATGATCCGGGACAGGCAGGTCCTGGAGAAGCGGCTCATCCGCCGGGAACTGGCGGAGGAGGAGAAACGCCTGGAAAAGCTCATGGAGACGGAGCGGGAAAAGGGCCTCTGGATCCAGGAGGAGCTGAAGCGCCGCAGGAAGGAGCAGCTCGACAGGTGGGCGGGAATTTCCTCAGGGAAGCATCCAAACTTTCCCAGCTGCTCCGGCAATTCCCAGGAGCGGGAGCGGGATGGATCCAAAGGGAAGGTTCCCACTCTGGAATTCCCAGGATGAAGCGGGAGGTGCTGGAGCAGCTGGAGCAGAGGGATGGGACTGGGATGGGATTGGGATGGATCCAAAGGGAACATTCCCAAATTCCCAGGGTGAAGCAGGTGGTGAGGAAGTAGCTGGAGTAGAGGGCACTGGGATGGATCCAAAGGGAACATTCCCATTCCCGAATTCCCAGGATGAAGCGGGAGGAGCTGGAGCAGCTGGAGCAGAGGGATGGGACTGGGATGGATCCAAAGGGAACATTCCCAAATTCCCAGGACGAAGTGGGAGGTGCTGGAGCAGCTGGAGCAGAGGGCACTGGGATGGGACTGGGATGGATCCAAAGGGAACATTCCCGAATTCCCAGGACAAAGCGGGAGCAGCTGGAGCAGAGGGATGGGACTGGGATGGGACAGGGATGGATCCAAAGGGAATGTTCCCAAATTCCAGGATGAAGCAGGAATTGCTGGAGCAGCTGGAGCAGAGGGATGGGATTGGGATGGGATTGGGATGGATCCAAAGGGAATGTTCCCAAATTCCAGGATGAAGCAGGAATTGCTGGAGCAGCTGGAGCAGAGGGCACTGGGATGGGACTGGGATGGATCCAAAGGGAACATTCCCAAATTCCCAGGGTGAAGCAGGTGGTGATGAAGTAGCTGGAGCAGAGGGATGGGACTGGGATGGATCCAAAGGGAACATTCCCATTCCCAAATTCCCAGGACAAAGCAGGAGGTGCTGGAGCAGAGGGACGGGACTGGGATAGGACTGGGATGGGACTGGGATGGATCCAAAGGGAACATTCCCAAATTCCCAGGGTGAAGCAGGAGGTGCTGGAGCAACTGGAGCAGAGGGATGGGACTGGGATGGATCCAAAGGGAATGTTCCCATTCCCAAATTCCAGGACGAAGCAGGAATTGCTGGAGCAGCTGGAGCAGAGGGCACTGGGATGGGACTGGGATGGATCCAAAGGGAACATTCCCGAATTCCCAGGACAAAGCGGGAGCAGCTGGAGCAGAGGGATGGGACTGGGATGGGACAGGGATGGATCCAAAGGGAATGTTCCCAAATTCCAGGATGAAGCAGGA